GGTGGGTCTCTGTGATTTCAAGGCTAGCTTGGTCTGCAGAACAAGTTCCAGGACAGACAGGGCTACACAGAGAAACCCTGTCTCCAAAAACAAAACAACACACACACATACACACACACACACACACACACACACACACACACACACACACACAAAAGCACCTTTTTCTTTACTTTGTAATGTGGAAAATGGTTTTGAGCCCAGACAGTTCTTAATTAGATTAACTAATCCATATTTTACATACACACACACACACACACACACACACACACACACACACACACTTAAGAAGATTCTAGGGAGTACAGAATTATCCCCCAGGTCTTTGAAATTAAATCACACTTTAAGGTCCACACAACTACTGAGCCAGGCCACACATCAAAGATTCAATAGGCAGAGAAAACAATGGCTGCTAGAGCTACAAAGGGAGGTGTTTTGAACTCAGGGTTTTAATTAGTATAGAACACCCTGAGTTCCACTTTTAGAAAAGGTAACCCTAGTAAGCTAAATAGGAGCAGAGTTTTGTTTATTTAATAATGGGTATTACTGGCCATGTGGTGCATACCTATAATTCCAGTACAGAGGAGGCAGCCAGAGAATCCAGAGTTCAAGGCCAGGCTAGGCTACAAATCAAGACCTTGTCTCAAAACAAATAAGCCGAAGAGTGGGGAAGGACTTGGCACATCCAAGCAATAGCTGGGCAAGCTCACTCGTTAGTAAGTAAATAAAATAACAGTAATCTAAAGTGTGGACAGATGGGATCCATTACCTATCATGCATTAGCTATTCCGGAGGAGGGAGTTGGTTCTGGACTTTATTTACTCAGCAGCATCAGTGGGCTAGTGCAGCTTACTCTCAAGGAATAGGCTGTGCCTAGATAGCATAGGCTGTGCCTATGATAGCATCGATGTAGTGTTAAGTCATGCTGAGTTGATCAAACAAGTTTGTGCTGAAGCACTGTGGGTGGAATAAGGTAGACTAGGAAGAGTAATATGCATTTAGAGAGCCTAGAAAGCTAGGCAGAAGCCAAAATCTGATGTGGGAAATGCATGCTGTGCCTGCATTCAGGTTCTCCCTTCACAGTCTAGCACACACACTGATGCTGATACAGCCCTGCTGGACCATGTTTTCACTGTTTTATGAACTGTTGATACCTGATATGTAACTCCATGTCTTAAATGTGTGTTTGCAGGTGGTTTCTGCATTTGATTATTTACCTACCAAGCAGTAACCATTACTCAGCTACTTGGTACAACTCTTTTATCAGGATCCTTTAGGTCTACAGAGGCCCTAACATGCCGAGCTGGTTCCATGGGCATGAGACCTAGGCAGGTCCCTGGGCCTCTTGTGCTTGATAGTCTGCTATTGCCAACTTGGAAATTCCAGCAATTTCTAGATGGGGTGCCACTTTTTGTTGTTGTTGTTGTTTTTTATTGTTGTTTTGCTTTGCTTTGGGACCTGCGGATTTAAACAACAGATCTATCAGCAAGTACTGAGTAGTCAGTCCCACAGGATAAAGCATTGTAGTTCTGGGTGAGTGTATCATGTCGCAGCTCAATAGAAACCATTAAAGACTGGGACAGTTCTAAGGAGTGGCCGTCAAGGTTCCAACCCAGCTGGTAATATGAGCTCTTGGGTGACTCTTAATCCCTTTAAGATGCCTCCCTAAGTGGATGGGGGCGCATGCGTATAGTAAATGCAAAAGGTATCTACAGAAGTGTTCTGAACACGGCGTTTGTAACAGCCCCAAGCTGGGAACTTCCAGCATGGAACTGGAAACATTCATACAGTGAAGTGATAGACAGCAGTGAGAGAGCATGGACCACAGCTACCAGCCACCGCGTGAGTGAGGCCCAAAAACATCATACTGGGAGAAATTAAGTAAATGTAAAGAAGCGTGATCTCATTCCTACTTCACATGGAGCTAATCGGTCTTAAAATTCGGCTGTTTCATATCCTGGGGAAGAGGAAGGAAGGTCATAACCCAGCAGAGGCACGTAGAGCTTCAGAAGCTCTAGATGTGGCTGCCCCCACTGAGTCATGAGCATATTCACTTCTGATTGGACAAACTCTCCTAACGGTCTACATGTACTTCTCTGTGTAGTGTATATTTCTGTAAAGTTTACATTTTGGAAAAGTAAACACTCTGGGCATGGAGGCTCACACCTGTAACTCTATCACTCTAGATGCCAAGGAAGTAGAATTACTGGGAATTCAAGGCCAATCTGGATTACCTAGTGAGTTCTGAGCCCACGTGGGATGCAGAGTTCAAAGAAAGAGAGACAGACAGACAGACACAAACCTGTGGAAGTCTTAGAGACACTTTAAGAACTTCCCAGGATATAAGCCACTGGAAATGCTTGTGTTTAAAAAGACTGGAAGATCACTCAGTGGACAAAGACTCTCCGTCCCAGGGTGAGGACTGGAGTGTGGGTCCCCAGCACTTACAGGGTAGCATGGCAGCTACCCTGAGTCCCAGAGCAAGCTAACTATCTAGGTCAAGCCAATGGGTGAGCTCTGGATTCAAGTGAGAGACCTGGTCTCAGTATATAAGATAAGAGCTATTGAGGAAGATACCCAGTGTCATCCTCTGTCCTCACACATACACACACACATGCAAACATACATACATGTACACAAACTACATCACATGCAAGGGGTGTTATAGAGGACCTGGGGGTTCAGTGCTTCCTTCACAAGTATTAAGACCCAAGTTTGGGTCTATAACACCCATGTAAATAAGCTAGACATGGCCACCAGCCCTGTAACTCCGGCACCAGAGAGATGGAGACAGGAGGATCTAAGGGAGTGGGGTTGTCAGTGTTTATGATGAAACACCATAACCAGAAGCAACTTGGGGAGGAGAGGGTTTATTTCACTCACACTTCCATATAAAATAAAATATCATCATCAAAAACAATGAGGGCAGGAACTCAAACAGGGCAGGAACCTGGAAGCAGGAGCTGATGCAGAGGCCATAGAGGGGTGGTCCTCACTGGCTTGCTCCCCATGGCTTGCTCAGCCTGCTTTCTTATAGATCCCAGGACCACCAGCCCAGGGATGGCACCACCCACAATGGGCTGGGCCCTCCCACATCCATCACTAATTAAGAAAATGCCGGGCGGTGGTGGCGCACGCCTTTAATCCCAGCACTCGGGAGGCAGAGGCAGGCGGATCTCAGTGAGTTCGAGGCCAGCCTGGTCTCCAAAGCGAGTTCCAGGAAAGGCGCAAAGCTACACAGAGAAACCCTGTCTTGAAAAACCAAAAAAAAAAAAAAAAAGAAAATGCCCTATGGTCTTGCTTACAGCCCCATGTTGTGGAAGCAATTCCTTTTTTTAATTCTCTCATACATTACATCCCAGCTGCAGTTTCCCCTCCCTCCTCCCTCCTCCCCCCTCTTTTCTCCCCCCAGATCCACTCCTCCTCTGTTTCCCTTCAGAAAAAGGGTAGGCCTCCCAGAAGTATCAACCAAAACACAGCATATCAAGTCCTAATGATACTTTGCTATACTTGTAGGTCAGAAGCAATTTCTTATTTAAGGTTCCCTCCTCTCCAGTAACTAGCTTGTTTCAAGTTGACATGAAACTATTCAGCACAAGGGTACTCATTGGCCATCCAATCTAGATGAATTGGTGAGCTCCAGGTTTGAAGAGAGAACCTGTCTCAGAAAATAAGGTGACCGGACATGACAGCTCAAACCTTTGATCCCAGTACTCATGGAGCAGAAGCAAGTGGATCTCTGATTTCAAAGCCAGCCAAAGCTTTATAGTGAGACCCTGTCTCCAAAAGACAAGTAAGATGGAAAGAAGAAAGCACCCAATGTCAGCGTCTGGCCTCCAAATGCATGCATGCCCATCCTTACACAGAAATATATACCACAAATGTATATTGAAACCTTAACCACTGAGCCATCTCTCCAGCCCGAAATAAATAAACCTTAAAAAACTTAATTAAAAATCAAAACTACAAAGGCTTATAGTGTTTGGACATGGTGGCATTCCCCTGTAGTCCAAACCTTTAGAAGACTGGGCCAGAAGGAGCCTGAGTTTGGGGTCAGCATGAATATACAGTGAGACTTATGAAAACAAGGCTGCCCCAGAAGAGTGGCAATCGCAGTTTCAGCCAGTGTCTTGGCCGTGCAGTCTTGCCTTTTAAATGTGAGAAGGCATCTTAAAGTTACCTTTGAACAGTTTTGGCCTGCCTGTCTGGCCATTGTAAGACTTTTTTGTTGGTCAGTTTTAAATACATATCATAGTTGTTATTGAATAGGAAAGTGAAATCCCCCCCTTTTTTTGTCCTTTTAAGACAACATCTGACTATGTAGCCCAGGCTAGCTTCAAGCTTGCAGTTCTCCTTCAGCCTACTGAATGCAGGAGCCAGCCTGTGCCACTGTGCCGGAAACCTGGCCCTTCAGGAAGCACCTGTGATAGTATTCATCCTAGACCATTGCCATCCATCTCTCTCTCCCCTCTACTTGTGAGACAGTGTAGCCCAGGTTGGCCTTCAACCTGGATCATCCAGCCTCTCCCGCCATAGTACTGGGATGCCAGGCATGGGCTAGCACTTCTAACAGGGCCTGCTGTTAGTTTTATGGAAGAAAAACTGCTCAACTTGAGGGTTACATTTACAGTTGCCTTTTTCTCCTTGTCTGGACAATTTTTCCCATTTATTTTCATTTTCTTAAATAGACTTTATTTATTTGCTTACTTATTTTAATTTTTAAAACTTGCTTAAATTTTTGCTTTATGCATATGGGTGTTTAGCCTGCATATATTTCTGTGTACCATGTGCATGCCTAGTGCCCAAGGAGGCCAGAAGAAGGCCTCAGATCTCCTGGACTGGAGTTACAAATGGTTGTGTGTTGCCATACGGGTCCTAGGAATTGAACCTGGGTCCCTGGGTCCCCTGAAAGAGCAATAAGTTCTCCTAACCACTGAGCTATCTCCAGCCCTTAAGAAGACTGCTTTCTTTTTTAACTTGTATTTGTTTGTTTGTTATAGGTAACTATGAAGGGCTTGTATTTTCAACCGAGTTCCACAAATGAAGAAATAACATTTCTATTTCAAGAAAGGGTATGAATAAATTATTTCATCATTAATTGAGACAAGATAATGTGTTTCCATGTATAATTGCCTTTGTTTGGCTTTGGTTGCTATGAGAAAATGCTCAGGCAAAAGCAGCTTAGAGGAGAAAGGAGTTATTTACCTCCCTGGTCCAGGTTGGAGTCTACCATAACAGGGAAGTCACAGCAGCGTGGAGGAGAAAGGAGTTATTTACCTCCCTGGTCCAGGTTGGAGTCTACCATAACAGGGAAGTCACAGCAGCGGGGAGGCAGCCCATCCCATTGCATCCAGAGCAAGGGGTGAGCTGCTGGCCAGCTCCCTTCCTCACCCAGTGCAGGACAGCCGTAGAACGTGTAGAACGTTGTAGAACGGTGCCATCTACCGGGGATAAGTCTGCTCGTTTCTTTAAATGCAATCAAGGTCCTTCCCACAGGCACACTCGAAGCTCTGTCTCCACGTGATCCTACATTTTGTCTAGTTAACAATATTAGCACTAACGGTTACAGTAAGGATGCACTTTTAAAAGTGTGTGTGTGTGGGGGGGGGATCATGCACATGCCATGACATACATGTGAAGTCAGAGGACAAGTTTACAGTCAGTTCTCTTACCTTTACATGAGTTCCAGGAACCAAACTCCAGTTACCAGGCTTGTGGGCAAGTGCCTTTACCCACACAGCTAGAGCCGTCCATGTACCCCAGACTCACTTTACATTTGTTATTAGTTATTTTAAGTGGAACTAAGTGAGCACAAGCTTAAGCCGCCTCCCCCTATGTATTACTTACATTACTTTCTCTTGACTACGTGAGAATGGTAGCTCGCACTGTAGTGTAGCTGGAGTTTCAGAAGAGCTGCTGCCGGGGCTGGGACATGGCTCAGCAGCACCCATGGCGGGCGGCTCACAACCACCTGCAAGTCCAGCTACAGAGGACCCAGGCCCCTCTGGCCTCCATGCACTGCACTCAGTGTGCACAAACCCACATTTGTATGTGCACATAATTGTTTTAGAAGTCAAGTACCTTAAAGGGAGTTGCCGTATTGGTCGTGCTGTGAAAGGTGCTGGGAAGGCTGAAAAGCGCCAAGCCTACATGTTACAGAATGGACCCCGCTGAGCAGGGTGGAGCTCAGTGGCACACTCTGCCTAACACTCACAACACTTAAGTTTGATCCCCGGGGCGGGAGAGGTGGCTCAGAGGTTAAGAGCACTGGCTCCTCTTCCAGAGGTCCTGAGTTCAAGTCCCAACAACCATATGGTGGCTCACAACCATCTATAGTGGGATCTGATGCCCTCTTCTGGCATAAAGGTTTGCATGCAGATAGAGTACTCATTCATTAAATAGATAAGTAAGTATTAAAAAAAAAAAAAAAGTTTGATCCCCAGCAGCAAAGAAAACTCACTGTGGATACTGTAAGAAAGCAAGTTTTCAGATTGTAGCCACATGATAGAAACTCTGTATTCTTAAATGGAAGAGAAAGAAAAAGCCTTATTTTCTACACAAATTTAGGCACTTCCTAAACTTCCCTTATTCGTTAAGCTTTTAATGACGGTAGTAACTGTTTCTGGATCAGGAACAGAATGTTTTTTTCCCTCTCTTGTCTTTCCTTAACTCCAGAGTGATTTAGATCAGGAGTCTAAGGCCTACGCCTCAGACAGATCACCCCTACCCCTAAGTCAGGAGAAGAATCTAAGGTTTAAATGCATTTCAGTAAAACTTGTCTCTGGGTATAATTAATACATTCATCAATATGACTGTCTTCATCGGTATCACTGAACAACAGATCCCAGATCTAGTAAAGATGCTCCCAGATGTCGTGTGCGGCAGGTAAAACACAGTGATCCTGTCATGGGTCATAGGGGTGTGCAAGAGCTGTCTGTGTGTCACTGGGGGACATGTTTCAGTTAGTGGTCCAGAATACAGTATCTGGGAGAAGTGATATAAAATTTATAAGTTTGGAGTATTTTTTGCCTTTGTTGCTTTATATAGCTAGAGTATAAGAGGTAGTTAAATTCTACTATGTTAATGTTTTGACAGCAAAATACTGTGGGATTTGCTGAGGCCTCTGGAGTAGATGTTAGAAAATAGGTGGACAAGTAACATTGAAGAATTTCATTCATAACATGAGGAAAATTCCAGATTTTATTAAAGGCTGTTTGTTGTATGTGTACTTTAAAGATCTGATAGTTTGAATTATTTGGGTTAAAATACAGTATTTGTCATTCTACTCTGTGAGACTGAGTTTGCTTCTATACTCATCCATGTTGGTCTTCGGTCGCTTTTCAAATAAAGATAGGAAAGCTTTTTTAAAATTACACTCCTAATTTTTCTTCTTCTTCTTTCATTATATACTATTAGATAATTATTTGTACCTTTTAAACTTAGGGTAATCATTAGATTTGGTATCAGTTTAACTTTTCAGTTAGCTATAGAAGTTTTCACAAGATGAACAAATGTTCTCAGAGGAATGTGTAACATGTGGTTTGTTATTTGATTCTAGGATACTCTCCCTGTTACAGACGATAACTTTGTGAAACTCCAAGTTAAAGCTTGTGCTCTGAGCCCCATAAACACAAAGGTATTGGTGCTTTTATTGTGGCCAGTGAAACTTTCAGAGGATATTTAATGTATTAAGTAATTGATTTCTGAGTGTGAAGAAATTATTTTCCTTAGAAAAACTGAACTTAGCCGGGCGGTGGTGGCGCACGCCTTTAATCCCAGCACTTGGGAGGCAGAGGCAGGTGGATCTCTGTGAGTTCGAGGCCAGCCTGGGCTACCAAGTGAGTCCCAGGAAAGGCACAAAGCTACACAGAGAAACCCTGTCTCGAAAAACAAAAAAAAAAAAAAAAAAAGAAAAACTGAACTTAGAAAAATATTTCATATGTATTTCATATATATATGTGTGTGTATATATATATATATATATATATATATATATTTGTTTGTTTTGTTTTTTTTTTTGAGAGGGTTTCTCTGTGTAATAATCCAAACTGCCCTGGACTCTCTTTGTAGACCAGGCTGGCCTCAAACTCACAGAGATCTGCCTGGGATTAAAGGCGTGCGCCACTATACCTGGCCCATTTGTATATTTTTACATTAAGGTAAATGGTCTAATTTGTGTTTTATATCAATATGTGAAAAAATTTTATAAACTTCATTTTGGAAGTCTGAGAATTTATAATTATTAAGTCCTGTAAGTGAAGGAAGAAACTACCTTTATAAATACAATAAAAATAGAAACTAGAAACAGTTTATCAACTACTGAATTGTAGGCATTCTAGTTAACATTTTTTAGATTTGATTTGTATTCTTATTATTTTTCTGTGTCTCATAAACATATATTTCCAATGTCATAGCACCCATAGTTATCTTTTATTATTGGCCATAAAAATATGTGTCTTGTGGGCAGTGGTGGCGCAAGCCTTTAATCCCAGCACTCGGGAGGCAGAGGCAGGTGGATCTCTGTGAGTTCGAGACCAGCCTGATCTACAGAGCAAGTTCCAGGATAGCCAGGGCTACACAGAAAAACCCTGTCTCAAAAAACCAAAACAAAAAAGTGTCTTTGACCCAGGCACAGTGGCATACGCCATTAAGCCCAGCACCCAGGAGGCAGAGGCCTCTGAGACTTTGAGGCAAGTCTGGTCTATATAGCTGGTTCCAAGTCAGCCAGGGCCACACAGGAAAGCTTGCCTTAAAAAACAAAAAGTCTTCAAATGGTAAATAAATAGTAATAGTAAATAAATGGTTAAACATGACATGATAAGTATTTTCAGGTCTTGTCGTGAGAGACAGGGTCTCACTATATAGCCCAGGCTGGCCTGAAATTCATGGTCCTCCTGCCTCAGTCTCCCAAGTACTGGATTATAGGTGTGTTCCTCCAGATCCGGATTTTTCTCCCGTTTTTGTCTTGGGCTTTTGTTGCTGTTTGTTTGTTTGATTGTGGTTTTGTTTGGTCTTTTGACTTGAACAACTGAAACTTTATCCGAGATTTGAAGGGTAAAAAGTCCAAGAAAAGTCAGTGTGCAGTAGGCTGGCCTCAGGTCTGTTCTTCACGGTTTGCAGTTGACCTTGCTCACATGGCTCTTTCTCTGTGTGTGCCTGCTCCTGGTGTCATTGTCATCCTAGGTCCCCAGTCCTGCCGGATTAGAAGTCTACACAGCTCTGTTTAATGTTAGTTACTTTTTTAAAGTCTCTGTCTCCAAACGTAGTTACATTGGGGATCAGGGTTAGAAGCATGGCAGTTAGTGTGGGAAGAGCCAGTTCGGTCTGCAACAGGAAGACAGACAAGAAGATTGTTTTGCGCATATTTTAGCTGTCCGTGCTAAAGTTAGATGATACCTAATGTGTGCCTGCCCAGTAGAGATGCTGTCCAGTTGGTTACTATAAAACTTTATAGGACCTGCACAGCTTCTGGTCGTGGGTAGTGTTGGGGATTGAATCCAGGACTTGTGAATGCGAGGCAAGCACTCTACCACTCACAGGAGGAAATGACAAATAGCAGTTGAATGAACTAATACAGCCAGGCGGTTGTGGCTCACACCTTTAATCCCAGCAGAGGCAGGCGGATCTCTGAGTTTGAGGCCTGCCTGGTCTACAAAGAGAGTTCCAGGCTAGCCAAGGTTACACAGAGGAACCTTGTATTGAAAAACAAAAACAAAAATGAACTATTAGATACCATTAATCATTCTGGTTATGAAGACAGTACATTAATGTAAGAAACTGCGTATGGTAAATGAAAGATGGAGAATACAGTTGCTAAAGCCATGGTTATAACTAAAAATGGGCATAAAGGGAAATAAAGGGCTCATTGGCTGAGTAAGTGTCTCCAGGACCACTAAACACACACACACAGAGAGAGAGAGAGAGAAAGAGAGAGAGAGAGAGAGAGAGAGAGAGAGAGAGAGAGAGAGAGAGAGAGAGAGAGAGAGAGAGAGAGAGAGAAGGAATAAAATCCCCAGAAATTTCTGCAGAGTCGGTATACATCAAAGAGGGCTTCTTTTTTTGTTTGATTTTTAATTGAAACATATGGCAGGCTGGAGAGTTAGCTCAGCAGTCAAGAGTATCTGTTACTCTTGCAGCAGAGGACCCGGGTTCGGTTCCTAGCACCCACATGGCAGCTTACAACCATCCGTAACTCCAATTTCAGGGCATCCAACCTGATCCCCTGACCTTTTTGGCACCAGGCACTCATGTGATGCTTTTAAAGACATGCAGGCACATATAAATAAATAAATGAATATTTTAAAACAAGGAAACCACCAGACACAAAAAAGCCCTGTGCTTACTTACCAAATAAATCTGAAATCTTTCCACAGTTTTCCTACAAATACCCGCCACTCCTTCCCACTGCGCCCTAACCCAAGACTGAGGAAAAAAATCCAGGTGACGTCCAGTTTTTTGAAGACAGAATCTCTCTTAAGTACCCAGACTGGCCTTAACATAAAGATTCTGACCCTCCTGCCTTCATCTCTTGAGTGCTAGGATTGCGGCTTGTTTTTGTGTGGTGCTGGGGTGAAAATCAGGCTTTCTGCATGCTGGGTAAGCCCTACCCACTAGGCTACATCCCTAGCCAAGGTTATCCTTAAAGGATGTGAGGCTTGGCCACACCCCCTGCTGTGTGGTGCCCTCTGGCCACACCCCCTGCTGTGTGGTGCCCTCTGGCCACACCCCTGTTGTGTGGGGCTCTCTCTGCACTCCCCTCAGCTTACTTGAATAGGTGACTGGGAAGCAGTATTTAGGCAACTGAGAAGTGTTTGGGGTGTAACTTCCCTTGTCAGAGAAAACGCTCAGCATGTCCTGGTGGTTTGAGCGACGACACCCGAGCCTCAGCCCTGTGTCAAACACCTCAGCAGCACGGCTCTCGCTCTGGAGAAAGGGATTTGTGAAGTTGTTTGCTCGATTGTAATTCCAAAAGTGAATTGTATTTGCTATTTCTGTGGCATGAGTATTTTTGTTGTTCCCACTTTCTCATAAATAAGAGATGGTTTTGATTATTGGTTGGTCGGTTGGTTGTTTATTGTCGTTGTTTGGTTTCGTTCTGCCCACCATCTCCCTGTGCAGTCCAGGCTGTCCAGGAGAACCCCTGTGTTGCCCACACTGGCCTCTGTCTCCTGCATGCTGGGGTTGAGGCAGCTGTGAGACTAGAGAACTGCGCTATCACGTAAGTCCAGGATTACTCTTGACTAATGTGCTAACAGCTTCTGTCATGATTCAGCTTCTGGCAGAAATGAAGATGGAAAAAGATCTTTTCCCTGTTGGAAGAGAAGTTGCTGGAATTGTATTAGATGGTAAGTATCATCTGTATTTACTATAGTAAAAGATTTAATAATAGCTACTAAAGTTACTAATACATAAAATAATGTCTTACAATGTAATTTGTGTTGTTTTTTGAGACAGGGTTTCTCTATGTAGCCCTGGCTGCCTTGAACTCACTCTGTAGACCAGGCTGGCCTTGAACTCACAGAGATCTGCCTTCCTCTGCTTCCCAAGCGCTAGGATTAAAGCTGTGCACCACCACACCCGGCTATAAATTTATTAAAATTTCATTTTTAAAAATTAAAACTAGGATTGAGTTTATAATTGAAGAACTAATACTTCAGTAAATACTTAGTTATTAACTCATATGTAATCATATTAAGTAAAATGACCAATTTTGTCCTTTTTGTTTTTGTGATGTGGCAGCTAAATTATACTTTTTCCTATAGTCTGGGTAGATTAAAGTAGGATAAAATGATCATTCAGATAATTATAATTAAAATCCCAAGTGAAATTGAAACACAGTCTACCCTGTGTTGGTTAACATTCATTCTTGTGTGCATTAAAGGTAGACGTACACTGGTCATGAACACCTATTAGTAAATATTGACTGACTCTAGAAACAGATTTTTCCAGAACGTAGGGGTCCTGTTCTACATGTTAAAATCATTATTTACTAAAAAACCTACTTTAGGGTGATCAAAAAATCTCACTGGTTATTTCTCCTCAGAAAGGACAATTCTGATTTTTAGATGAATGAACTCACTTTTAAATGCTTGGTTTAAAGCAAACTTTGAAAGCTTTAAAGCAGGTGCTGATAGTCATGGACATTTTGGTCCGGCTAACTTACACGAGTAACTTGGACTTGTTTATGAACATTGGATGTAATGTCGGGGCTGAGTATACAGCTCAGGGGAAAAGTGTTTGCCTAGCATGCTTAAGGCCATGGGTTCTGTCCTTAGCGCTGGCAGAAAAAAAGGAAAATGATTCTTCAAATAGAAGAGAATAAAAGAGAGTGAACAAAAGGATGTGTGAACACAGACTTGTTCTCAGGAAGAAACAAACAGGAGGGTTGACCAGAGCCAGCCCTACTCTTGGTGAGCATTACAATGAGATGATTAGTTAGCTGTCAAAGGGTGGATCAAGGCAAACCCGTTCCTAGGCAAGAGGACTGGTAGGGTCATAGACCAACACACAAGAGATAACAACGTCCATAAGCTAGAGAGCGATGACAGACAAGAGGGACTGGCGGAGAAATGAGGAAATGACATCAGCAGGAGTTAGTCATTGATTGGGCTTCAAGGACCCAGGGTAGGAGACAGAAACAGTATCATATCACCAAAGTTCCAAGTCCCAGAACTGGGCCAAAGAGATGCTCAGCCAGTAGAGGCACTTTACTACACAAACCTGACAGCCTGAGTTCATTTCCACAACCAACTCCCAAAAGTTGTCCTCTGTCCTCCACATGTGTGCCAAGGCATATATATATATATATATATATATATATATATATATATATATATATATATATATATACTCACGTACACACAATAATGAGAACAGTAATAAAATTTTTAAAAGTTCCAAAAACTTTTTGGATGCCAACCAGAATTTATTTACCAAGTCAGAATAATTTTTTGTTGTTGTTTTTTTAATTTACAAAAACATCTATCTTTATTTTATATATAGGTGTGTGTGTGTATACATATATCATATATATACATACACACACACACACACACACACACACACACACACACACACACGAGTGTGTGCCTGCATGGATGTGTGTGCACCTGTAGAAGACAGAGCGGGCATCAGATCCCCTAAAACTGGAGCTAGCGACAGTGTGAGCCATCTTGTGGGTGCTGGGAACCTGATCGGATCCTCTGCAAGCACAGCAAATGCTCCTAACTGTTGAGCCATCTCTCCTGCCCCATCAAATTAACACATGACTCGCTGGAATTCCTCCTTGTGTGGCTGAGATTCTTCCGCTTAGGTGACGGTGGAAGATGTGCCTAGCACAGGGGTAGGGGTGGGGGGTAGAGAACAGCCATCAGAAGCTGTAGATGTGTTGTTTTCCTGAAAGTCGGCCACACTGGCAGTGGCACAGAAACAGGATTTCCTCACAGTGCCAATACCGTGTACCTCAGTTTTTCTAGAGAAGCAAGCCTTGAAGGGCTCTACCTTACGCAAGTTCTTGGCCCTTTGATTGAGTGGATTTTTTACAATCCCGTGAGTGATTTCATTTTTTTTAACTTTTTTTTTAAAGATTTATTTATTTATTATGTATACACTGTTCTGCCCGCATATATGCCTACACATCAGAAGAGGACACCAGATCTCATTACAGATGGTTGTGAGCCACCATGTGGTTGCTGGGAATTGAACTCAGGACCTCTGGAAGAACAGCCAGTGCTCTTAACCTCTGAGCCATCTCTCCAGCCCCTATTTTTTTAACTTTTTAATTGGCTTTTTCTTTGTTTTGAGGACAGAGTTACATGTAGCCCAGGCTGGTCTTTAATTTAATATGTAACCAAGGATGACCCTAAACTCTTGAACCTCTTGACTCCACCTCCTAAGTGCTGGGATTACAGGTGTTGCCCACTATGTCTGGCTTTTAATCGTTAAATAAAAATTAAATCTAGGGGGCTGGAGAGGTGGCTCAGTGGTTGAGAGCACCGGCTGCTCTTCCAGAGGACCCGGGTTTGATTCCCAGCACCCACATGGTAGCTCACAACTGTCTGTGACACCGTTCTAGGAAATCTAATGCCGTCTCTGGCTTCCATGGGCACCAAGCATGCACAAGGTGCACAGATACACACGAGGCCAAAACGCCCATACACAATCAAATAAAGAGGTTTAAATAGAGTAATTAAATTTAGTAATTTTGTGATGTTAACGCTTCCCTCTTTCTGCTCTTTAGTTGGCAGTAAGGTATCATTCTTTCAACCAGATGATGAAGTAGTCGGTAAGTTGTTCACAAGTCCTATTTCAAACCATGCATTTCATTGTCAGCCCATCTTTTATTCTGTAATTGTTGATGTTCATTATGACCTCACTTCATATGAAAGTGCTTTTTTGGCTGGGAGTATAGCATGTGTAAGGCCAGGGTTCAGTCCTAACATTCCAACAACTTTTTCCTGGCTTTTGAAATTTGCTCTCAAGTATCCATTGCTGAAGAAAGGCGAGGAGCGCTTGACCTCAGTGAGCAGGACGCTCACTTCAGGCCTGCATCTGTCTGGCTGCTGAAGAGAACACAGGTAGAAAATGGCCAGACCTCATGCTCGCCTCGACGCTTGGCTTTCCTGTGTGGTCCCTCCAGAGTCAGGGGCCGGGCTTTGAAGATGGCTGATGGACCGGGCCATGGAGAGCCTCTGTTCTCCACCCTAGTCCGGACTCTGGAGGGCTCTGCCTCTCCTGTACAAGCAGAAATTAACCTGAAGCAGTTTATTATTCTTCAATCCTTAATTACTGAAAGAATGTTACAAACACCTGTTCATGCTTGTGTCCCAGACACTCATGAAACGTGTAGAGCGTCGCTTTTGTCACTGTCCCTCAGAAACCTTCTTCATCCTCATAGAAAGTGTCCTCTGAGCCTTGGGAAATGCTGTTAAAGATTAGGTATGTGGGAAGGTGTCTTCAGCTTTCACGCCCCATGAATTGCTGATTTTATTCTTTTATTTTTCCACCTAAGAAATCAGTAACACTCTGTATTGCTCAAGTTTCCTTGAGACTGACTGGACTCCAGGAAAGTGGGGTTCTGTTGAAGTCACGCATCCTATGATGACAGGATCCAGGGCATCCTGTGAAATAAAACGATGCAAGGGGCATCGGGGGTCCAACACTCCAGGTTGGCTGTATGACAGAGGCCATCGTCTTTACCGTCACTCAGGAGTGACAGGAGAGAGAACAGAGGTGTCATTGTGTTGCAGTGTTCCTGCCAAAATAAGTACAACTGCTCCTCTCCCTTCCTGGGAACTTCAGGAACCTTCTTGAATGAACATACATGAACATAGCTCATCAGGAGTGAATTCATTTGGGGGCGTTTTTCCCCCCTTAAACTTGTCATTTTAATTTTTAGGAATCTTGCCCCTGGATTCAGAAGCCCCTGGACTCTGTGAAGTCACTCAAGTACATGAACATTACCTGGGTATGTGGCAGTCCAGTCATTGGGAACTTGTCAGGCTCATTTCACTGGTTTGTCATGTAACCGTCGGCTGGCCATGGGGATATTCCTAGCCTGCGTTATTTATAGAATTAGTGCTTAGACTAAGCATTGTGTGGACCTGCAAGGTTTATTAACATTGCTCATGGCTCTGAAATTATATTTATAATCAGAATTTGAAAATGTCTTACCCTTGGCTTATCTGAGTGTGTGTATGTGTTGTGTGTGTGTGTGTGTATGTGTGTGTGTCAGTGCATCTGTGTGTCTGTGTCAATGTGTCTGTGTTGCTAGAGATGGAAGTTAGGGCCTCCAGCCTGTTAAATAAGTGCTATACCATTGAACTCTTTGTTATTAACTAAAACAAAAAAATGTATAAAATCAGACAGTACTTTGTTGTTTGTTTTTGCTCTTTTGAGGGGCCCACCACCCAGCTCCCAAATAAATTCACACATGGAGGCTTATTCTTACTTATGAATGCCCGGCCTTAGCTTGACTTGTTTCTAGCCAGCTTTTCTTAACTTTAAATTATCCCGTCTACCTTTTGCCTCTGGGTTTTTCCCGTTCTCTTACTTCTGTAAATCTTACTCCCTGGCCGGCTGTGTAGCTGGGTGGCTGCCCCCGGAGTCCTCCCCCTCCTCCTCCCCGCTTTCTCCTCTGTGTCTTCTCCCTGCCCGCAGCCCTGCTAGCCTCTCTGCTGCCTCGCCGTTGGCTGATGTGGGGATTTACCAAGGCAACTCCACGTACTTACAAAGAGGTCTATTTGGGGGTAACTGGCAGGCAGTAAAGGGTTGGTTACAGGATCTGGGAGAGGTGAGGTGCAGTCCAGTGGGGTTCTCTGGAGAACTCTGACTCAGTCTTCCCTCCAGCATCCAGGATCATGAGGAACCAAGAGGCCCAGCACCTCTGGATCTCTGGTCTTAAGGGCTCCCCTCTCAGCCCCACTTCAGGGAAGGTCATAGGTAGGCGTGGCAGTTACCAGAAGCCTCACTAGGGGTAGTAAGTACTTCCAGGTCAAAGCGGAACAGCTACCCACTACAATTAGCCGTTCAGCTCTTTATTAGACCATCAGGTGTTTTAGACAGGCACAGTAACACAGCTTCACAGAGTTAAATAAATGCAACATAAGCAAAAGTAACACACCTTCAAATATTCCCCAACAATACTTGTCAAAACTGAGGCAGAAAAGAATGAAGAAAGCTTATATTTGGTTTCTGTTGCTAATAGGCTTTGATCAATATTCAGTTTTATTTTTCATGAGAAATTGTATTTTGAGTATTTCCAAAATGCATACACACTAACAGAAACTATTGACCAGATGCTTCATCGCCTAAGCAGCTAGAGGAGATGAAGGACACTCGGGCCGGTCAGGAGGGTGGAGGCTGAGGAAGTGAAGAGTGGCAGCGGGGGCTGGGGAGGCAGTTCAGTCAGAACAGAGGCTGCACGACTCGGGGACCTGTGCTCGGAACTCCAGAAGCCACACACAGTCCAGAGGCAGTGTGCACACCCTGAACCTCAGTGCTGAGGGAGGCAGGGATAACAGGATCCCTACGACTGCTGGCCAGCCAGCCTAACCAGCGGGCACCCAAATTCAATGAGAGGTCTCATCTCAACAAACAGGATGGAGAGTGATTGAGGAAAACAACACGTAACTCTGGCCTCCACGTGTGCATGTGCATGGGTGTGTACACTGGGATACACATAAGCACACGTACACAACCAAATGGCTTAAAAACAACAACACAAACAGCAAGCCCCTCTGGGCAGCAGTGAGCATTGAAAGGTCCGTTTGCCTGTGCTAAGGTGCTGGAGATGGAATGCCACGGCCTCACGTCTGCCAGGCAGGCCACTGTGCCAGCATCCACATCCCTTCCAGCACAGATCAGGAGGGAAAGAGCAAGTCCAAGTGTTTGGGTCCAAGCTATAAAGTTTAAGTTCAGAATGATGTTTCTCTTAGTGGTTTATTTATAAATCAGGAAGGTGGATTATAGTCCACAAGTGTACCAAAGTATGTAGAGTGAAAAATTGCAGACATTCTTTGAGGAGGAAACCAGGATTCGATGGTTCCTTAGGAGTCCTTTAATCCAGGTGTGGTAGAACATGGCTGTAATCCTAGCATTTAGGCCAGAGACAGAAGAATCTAGAGTTCAAGGCCTGGGCTACAAAGTGAGAGCTTGTCCCAAAACAGGCCAAGCCAATGACCCCCACTGGGGCTAAAGCGGTGGCTCAGTGGTTGAGAGCACTGGCTGCTCTTCTGGAGGACCTGAGTTCAGATCCCAGCACGCAAGTCAGGCAGCTCACAGCTGCTGCCACTTCAGTCCCAGGGGATCTGACACCCTCTTCTGGCCGCCATGGGCATGCACACACGTGGCACACACAGAGACGCATGGGCACATACATATAAATAAAAAGAATTCTTTAAAACATTAACAAATGACCACCAAGAGTGTGACCTTTAGGTGAGAATCCTGGTCACACTCACCATGCACTAACGAGGAGACTCAGCTGGAAAACTGTGTTCTGTTTGCAGCTCCAGCATTTTATGAGCAGAAGATGATTTCAGTACACTCCATGAAACTTTGCACTGGGGAATCTCAGATTCAACTTGAGTTTCTATTCACGCTTAGCCTGGTGACTGTTTAATGAGAGCTCAGGCTTCAGTCACTTTCAGTTCAAGTAAGTTTTGTTCTTTCAGCAAACCCAAGAATGGGGTTCCAAATTACCCCCAGACGTGAATGCCGTTTCACAGTGCCACAGATACAGTTCAGATTGTGTAATCCTTCCAGCTGGTTTAGCTATCCTGCTTCTGATCCCTTTTTAAACAGTTAGTTAGTTCTTGTGTGCATGTCTCAAGGGGTCGTGGGGTGACAGGCACATCACAGTGCCTGTGTGACAGCCACAGGACAACCTGTAGGACTCAGTCACTTCTCTTTCCACCACGTGGGCTCCAGATATGAATGCAGGTCATCAGACTTGGTGGCATTTTAGCCCTGAGCCATCTCTACAGCCCCAACTGCCTTTAGTTCTTAAGGCATTCCGACAAACTTAAAAATAATTTTTATTTCTCTCATTCAAAATTGGGCATACATTTTCAACTGTCTCCCCTCCTTTTTTTTTCCGGGCCCAAGCTGAAAAAGAAATATAATGTTCATTTTTACTGTTCATGGAGCTATCACTGATCCATATTTTACTTATTTGTTTAGTCTTTATAACATAATGAGCATTGAGCATTAATACACAAGCAAGACTCGAGCAGGCAGTTAGAGCCTCTGCAGTCTAGGGCTGGAAAGACGCCGGTTCTGCCCTGAGAGCACTTGCTGTTGTGTCCTGAGGACAAGGACCATCTCGCCTCCTTCTGCCGGCCTCCTGTGGCACACGACATGTGTGCACACATACATAAATTATAAAAATAATCGTAAAAAGTTCTTAGAATCTTAAATGTAGTTTCTGTATGAATGGTATGCACATGTGTGATTAGAATTATATATGTGTACTTTAAGTTTCCTTCCTTTTTTTTTCAGTTCTCCACTGCTTCTGCTTTATTATAACTTACAAAGCAGCAGATGTTTGCAAGCATGTGCAAACGCTGTGGTCCACGCATACACTGGTTAGTTATCGCCTTCCTCTTCCTCCTCCTCTTCCTCTAAGCAGTCTTCAAACCCCTCACTGTCTTCCTGGTCTTCATCACCTTCTGTTGCCGTATCCCACTGTGGGTGGTTTTCTGGCACAGGCTTGGCCTCATGAACTTCCAGCTTCAGTGGTTTAATCTGATCCAAACCCATATAGGAGTCTGACCTCAGAAACACTGTATACTGATCATTTCCAGGCTTGCCTGGTGCAGGAAACTTCAGTTCTTCCTCTTCTGTATCCTTCAACGTACATACATGATATGGCATGGATATTAATGTCTGTTCTTTCCTATCTGCAGTATAAAGCCACCACCACTCTTGTTTTTCCTCGGGAAAGTAGAGACTGCACACAGGGTGTGTGATCTTTGACTTGGTTTCTAGGAGAGCCCTCTCTCTCCTCTGTATGCTTTGTTGTAATTCTTGCCGCTCTGCTTCGTCGTCCTTGTTTGTTTCTCATCTTACTATCAGACTCTCTGTCACTGCCATCCTCTTTCTCACTCTGGGACTCTCTGTTGGTCTCTTCCTCTTCAGAAATGTCCTCTTCTTCCTCCTTTGCTGCAGCTTCACTCCCACCAACTCCCTTGGCCTGCTTCTGCTTCTGTTTCTGCTCTTTGGCCTGGGGGAAGGGCAGAGCTGTGGGCTTTTTTTTCAAAGGCTTCTTTCTTCTTTTTGGACTTGGGCATCTTTTGGGTCCTTTGCTCTTCTGCTGCCATCCTCCTTTGGCCTTGTTCTTGCTGGCATCACTCTGCCCATCTTCCGCAGGCTGTTCCTCCGCAGCACAGATGGACTGCTCCTTTTCAAATACTTCGGCCATCGTCTGCCTTGTCAATTTAACCAACACCGTGACTAGGGATCCTACTGTGATGTTGTTGCTATCCTCATCATCCAATACCTGTGACTTTATATCCATAGTCACATAGGGAAAACTCCCAAGGACTACCATTACCTCTTCATATTTGTCATCTTCAAGGAAGTGCAGCAGACTATGACGACCTGATTCCTTTAAACTGACCAAATCCTGAACAGTTTTAATTTGTCCTTTTGATGGTTGGAAACTCTCCTACTTCTTTTTTTTTTTTAAACAAGACTCACTATGTATCCAAAGCTGGTCTCAGATTTGTAATTCTTTTACTATTTCATGTAGCAGGAATCTTAAAAGTTCTTATTAATAAAATCAAACCAGAGGCGAGTTATTGGAGTCCATGCTGGTAGATCAGAGAGACAGAACAAGCCACAGCTATCTCACCTTGCCGGATCCTCAGCTGGTCTTGTCTCCTCAGACTGGAGGCCTCTGAGTCCTCATCCAGAATGAATCTCAGCTGAACTGTGTTGCTCCAAAGCCTGAAAGCTTAACCAGCCAAATGCTTAACCAGCCAAATGCTTCTAGTTTCTGGTCCTCACGCCTTATATATCTTTCTGCTTTCTACCACCACTCCCTGGGATTAAAGGCGTGTGTCACCATGCTTGGCTATTTCCAATGTGGCCTTGAACTCACAGAGATCCAGAGGGATTTCTGTCTCTGGAATGCTAGGATTAAAGGTGTGAGTGCCACCATTTTCTAGCCTTTGTATCTAGTGGCTGTCTGTTCTCTGACCCCAGATAAATTTATTAGAGTACACAATATTTTGGGGAACACAATACCACCACAATTTCAGCTTTCCAAGTGTTGAGATCATGTCATATAAATAAAGTTTTGATAAAATATGATAGACTGAAAGGAAATAGTGCCTCCAAATAGACCATACAAGTACAACGTGTATAGATGAACTTAAGAAGAGGTAGATATACTATAGGTCACATATTCAACCAGATTACCTATGAGGCCTTAGGCAAACCAATAGTTCCACACCTAATTTCATAATCAGCAGAATTGGAAGAATAGTATTGGGTAGATAAAAATGAAAGAAAGAAAGGGAGAGAGAAAGAGAGAGAGAGAGAGAGAGAGAGAGAGAAAGGGAGAGAGAGAGAAAGAAAGAGAGAGAGAGAGAGAGAGAGAGAGAGAGAAGGAAAGAAAGAAAGAAAGAAAGAAAGAAAGAAAGAAAGAAAGAAAGAAAGAAAGAAAGAAAGAAAGAAAGAAAGAAAGAAAGAACACAGAGACCATTTCTTCTATCATATACTCAGCATGGGTCATACCTAAGATGACCTCAGCCTGTGTGGGGATTTCTCCCACAACAGTCAGGTCTGCACAAGGCACACCAGGCCTCCTCTGTTCCTCGTTAGTTCTTTCATTCTGGTGCTGTCTTCCTGGAGATAAAATAGATGTCACAGGTTCTGACTCAGTCCCACAAGACTGCCTTCATTTGTGACGTAGTCACAAGTTGGGCCTTCAGGAATTCTGAGAGTTAGGGTTCCCACTCTAGACTCGTTTAATTCCAAGACTGGCTAAGTGAGCTGAGGCTGGGGCTGTAGAGATGGCTCAGTGGTTACAGAGCATGTGTTGCTCTTCCAGAAGACCTAGGTTTGATTGCCAGCACCCATACATCTGTAACTCCAGTTCCAGGGAGATGTGATGCCCTCTTCTGACCTCGGAGAGCACCACACATGCAGGCAAACACTGACACATAAATAAAATGACTAGATGTCACTTTAAAGTTTGTAAAGAGCTGAAGATAATGCATTTACTGGTTTACTGGAAAGGATACAAATAAACACAAATGAAGATATGCACAGGTCACAGTCTCTCTCTCTCTCTCTCTCTCTCTCTCTCTCTCTCTCTCTCTCTCTCTCTCTCTCTCTCTCTCTCTCGTTCCTTTTGGATGAGGGCAGGACCCCACTAGACTGGAGTCTTCCTGTTTCCCAGGCAAGGCGTGTCAGAGTGTTGTTGGCAGGTCAACTCCAAGACCAGAACAGCAGTAAATTAGAGTGTATGAAGTCAGAGGGACTTTGCTTTCCGAAGCTCGCTTCTGAACTGACATACCCCAGCAATATTAAAGACCATGCTCTCCTTCATCCACCAGACAACCACGGACAAAAGGTCCAACTACTTTAATGAAAGATACGCTTCTAGTCATTTAGAAAATAAAATGGGCGGTGGGAGTTATGACCAGGAACCAAGGATGGGAGCACATATGTAAGTCATGGTTGTCCTGAAGAGTTTCGTGAAGAAGTACTCTATATAGTATTGGTGTGTTCTTTCTCCTTTCATTCCCAGCTCATTGATTAGGGAATTTTCACCATAGTGTGTGAATGCTCTGTCTGCCCACTAGGTGGCATTAGTTTGTTGTTAATGCACTGCTGATTGCTCTGTGACCAAGTCATATGAAAAGTGTGATTCGCTGATGTGAGATAAAATCAGAAAGGATTGCTTTTAGGGTGACAACACCACAGTTTATTTGAACACAAGAATTATTCAAAATGTGAGGAAACAGCTTAATGGGCAGATCATACAGAGCTCTTATTTTTTAGTTTGTTATCCCATGGGGGGGGCGGTATTATTTAATTTTGAGACAGGTCGCACTATGTAGCACTGGATTGCCTGGAACTCACTCTGTAAATCAGGTTGGCCTCAAACTCACAGAGATCTGCCTACCAAGTTCTGGGATTAAATGTGTACGGCATGATACCCAGGTATATTTTGAGGTTTTAAAACTATTGGGAGTGTACATTTTTTCCCCAAGTGCAGAGGAGGAGAGGCATTGATGGGATTTTAGGAGAAGAAGTGCTAGGATATTATTTATATGTTGTTTGGCTTTGCTTTCACATGCAGTGGGTGGGTGTGTACATGCGTGTCGGCCAGAGGATGACGTACAGAAGTCAGTTCTCCTCCCACCCTGTGGTTTCTGGCATTGAACTCAGGTCGTCAGGAGTGGCATCGAGCGCCGTTACCTACTGAGCCATCTTGCCGGCTGTTTTGTTTTCCAGTCAGGCTCTTGCTATGTAGCTCAGGCTGGTTGTTAACTCATAATCCCCCTGCTGCAGCTTCCCAAGTACTGTGATCATAGTGCAGCACCATGTCCAACTAATGGATTTCAAATATCATCCAGCACTGCTTTTCTTAAAGACATCACTAAAGTGATTGAAAAGGAGAGTTGTCACGTTGAAAAATGTTGAACAACTGCAGTCTGGAATAAAAGAATACTCCAAACTCTAAAACTTGTGTATATGCAAATGTTCTGAAATCCAACACACTTCTTGTCTCAAGCATTCTGCAGGATGCTCAGCTTGTAATATTTGTAGCATAAGAACAGATGACTCATCTGAAATATATTAAAAATTCCCATAAAACAATAAACAACAAAGTAGAAAACTTGACCTAGACTTCAGCAGTCACTTCCTACAAGGACTCTGAAGGCCAGCGGACCTGAGAGGAGAGGCAGTCATGGTAGAGCCAATGACAGTCACAGGAAGAGCCATCACATACCCCGACAGTACCAGTGATGGCCAGAGATCTCCGCAGCAGGTACCTTTGCAGGGCTGCTTTGCTCTCCAAAGTCAACGCCCTGACATTCTTAGCAGTGGTATTTTAACTGCCAAACACGCGGAACAAGTGTTCATCAGCTAAGAAATGAATGAACAAGCAAGGATTTCCACACGGGCCAGGCCTCCCTAACGAGGACAAGGAAATGTCCGTTATAAACTAATGTGAGGCTCAGGAAGTTGTCCTCTGCTGTCTGCACACACTTGTGTCATGTACACACATCATACATGGGAAAGAAGAACTTTAAAAACTGAAATATAACAAAGCAAAGTAGAAAAGCATGCATGGTCCTGCACAGACAGGTTCAGAATCAGGCAGAAGTGCTAACTGTCGAGGGATACGGACATGATGAACTCTGAAGGAGGGCATGAAACCGTGAGAGCTGTAGAGCGCAGGGCTGAGGCACCAGGTACTGGCCGCTCACCAGGAAGGCAGCTGCTTGCTGTGCATCTTACAGTCCGTCCTGCAGCTGTACTTTATGTGCTCGCTGAATGTATTTTATCTCCTGACAGTCCTAGGAGAACGGCTCCTCCATGCATAAGAATCAAAACAGGGAAATGAATGTAAGTGATAAAGGAGGAGACTGGAGCTGGGTCAGCGGTCCATGGCGGTAGAGATGAGTCTGACTGGATCTAAGAGTTGGTACCGATGAACTCACTAGTGAATTGTTTCTTGTTTGTTGTGATAGTTCATAAACCAGAAAAGGTTTCGTGGACAGAAGCTGCCGGAGCCATTCGGGATGGCGTCCGAGCCTGCACAGCTCTGTATTACCTTTCTCATCTCTCTCCTGGAAAGTCCGTGCTGATCATGGATGGAGCAAGTGTGAGTCCAGTTGATTTTGTTTTTATACCAGTACACCATAAACATAGGAACTATGGGAAAGCTGTGTCTGCGGATGTCCTTCTGTGTCATTCAGTCGTTAGATTTCTCTTCCATTTTACCCTTATAGACAGCTTTTATCAATAGCATGTCGAAGCTGGACTTAGCTGAATCCACCAGTCAGGTAAAAAGCAAGGCAAGACTTTTGTTTCTCCCTTCTCTTTTTCAGTGGTGATCAACCCAAGGTCTGGTGCCTGCTAGGCAAGTGTCCTACCAGTGGGCTCTCCCAGCCAGGCCTTTTTACTCATTACTGTTGTACAGAGTCATGAGTCTGTGGGGTCTCGTGGAAGTCTCAGGCAGTTCTGAACCGTAACCCCAGTGCTTACTCATGCTAGTAAGGGTGTTGGCATTTACCAGGTGGGTCAATACAAGATTAAACTGTGCTCCAGTGTACTACACGTCACCAAAAAACCCATAAGACGCTACGTGATCCATTTTAAAAAAGTGTAAAACTTAGGGTAAAATCAGTTTTCTTTTTAACAGGCTGTTGATGGAAGCCACAGTTCTGGGGTGGGGGTGTGCAGAAATGCCTTCAGCACTGACTGTAGACTGACACCCAACATCAGGAGAGCAGTGCTTTCCTAATTCTTACCCGTGGATCCAAAGGTGGTACTTCTGAGGTGCCGTGATCGTGAAAGCAGTGTAATTACATTCCCATCCGTGCTGTGCAGCCAGCTTAGACTGACAATGCCTGTATGGGCTGCTGTTCCTCTCCACGCCATGTTTCTGAACACGGCTCTCACCCCTGGACTTCCGTGTGCAGTTACGGTAGATCTGACTTCAAATTTCCGAAGGAAGCTTGCCCTGCTAAGCTTGAGGGTATTGTTCCCTTGTTCTATTATGTAACGTTTTAAAACATTTTAAAGTAATGCTGAAGAACTGTATGTGTTAAATGTCTGTGAAGTAAACTAGGTGTGTCCTCTCACCTGTATCTATGAACCCATTGATATGTATTCCACACAGGCGTTTGGGACAATAGCCATTCAGCTAGCACACCATAGAGGAGCCAAGGTGATTTCCACAGCATGCAGCCTGGAAGACAAGCAACATCTGGAGAGGATTAGGCCTTCTATAGGTACGTTACATGTTACATTACTCAGTATAGACCGTTTAACATATGAAATCTTTTTTAAAGATTTATTTATTTATTATGTATACCGTGTTCTGCCTGCATGTATGCCTGCAGGAAGAGGGCACCAGATCTCATTACAGATGGTTGTGAGCCACCCTGTGGTTGCTGGGAATTGAACTCAGGACCTCTGGAAGAACAGCCAGTGCTCTTAACCTCTGAGCCATCTCTCCAGCCCTAAAATATGAAATCTTGAAGGGAAAGCAAAACGAGTAGCCAGGCATGGTGTCTCTTTGCCTGTAATCCTAACACTCAGTGGAGTGAGGCAGGAGAATCCCGAGTTCAAAGGCAGCCTGAGCTACCCATTGAGATCTTGTCTCCAAAAAATGAAAAAATTACTAAAGTGTCTTATTACTGATATTTGTGTATTGGTTTATGGTGCTGACGATCAGCCCAGGCCTCGTGCATGCTAGGCCGTGCCTACCACTGGGCTCCATCTTCAGCCCTGTTTAAGGCTCTAAACCCACACCCTTTACATCTTCTGTTTTCCTTCTTTGTCTTGTTGTTTCCGACTTCACCGGGTCTGAATTAAATCAACTCTGATACAATTTAGAAATGCCAGTTGCTTCTTCTGTTTCAGCCAGTCAGTCGATAGGGTTTCACATCACTCTGTGCATTTCTCAGCCTCTAACTGTCTGTCTTCTGTAAAATGCTGAGAAGCAGGTGACCCATGTCACATAAACATAGGCAGATGGGCCACGGTGGAGGCCAGCAGCCTCAGCAGACTGAACTTATCTAGAGAAGAAAAGGGTGGAGACTAGAGGACAGTCAGATAGGGAGAGGCTGGACTGGAGAAAGTAACCGATGGAAAGCAGAAACCACCAGAGTGAGAGGGCAGGGGGGTCTGGGAAAGCCAGGGGAAGTCCTCGGGGCCTCACTGCACAGCCAGTAGGTACTTCCAGAGACCTGAACTGACTTCTAAGACAGGAACAGGACCACTGGGAGAAGATCTGAGTCCAGCCCCATCTAACACTGAAGCCCAAGCTGTTTCCTTGGTTGCAGTTTGCATCCGATAAAGATAAACAAAAACAGAAGGAAGGTAATAGAGCTGAAGGAGGCGGAAAGCATGGAGAATGAAGATCTGAAAACAGAATTGGGGAGGGCGACGGCACAGTGGTTAAAGCAGTTGCCACTCAGCAGGAAGGCCAGAGTTCAGATCCTTGGAACTCATGTGCCTAGAATCAGCACTCAGGAGGTAGAGACTGGGCAGGGTCCCCGGGGAAGCTGGCTAGCTAAAGTAGCTCCGGGCACGAGCCACAGATTCTGTGGGAAACCCTATTTCAACAAATACAAACTGGGATGGGCCAGTGAGATGGCCCGGGGGGCAAAGGCACTTGCCACCAAGTACCTTCCCTGGGACCCACGCGGTGGAAAGAGAAAAATGATTCCCACAAGTTGTTCCCTGAGCTCCACATGTGCTGTGGTACACACGTGCACACTTGCACACAATGCACACAATAAATGTAATACAAAGTGGGGGGGGGGTGTTTTGTTTAATGGAGAACAGTTGAGGAACATTCCCAGTGTGGACTTTGGCCTCACACTGAAGGTCACATGTGTGCATGTAGAGCACCTACATACATCTGCAGATGTTGATATACATACAAAGAGAAAAGAGAATGGAGGTCTCAGTTGTGGTTTGGAAAGCATGCTGTCTGTCATGTATTCATCTAACATGTTTCATCCCCAGCACAGGAAGACAGGGAGAGAAGCTAGGGTGGAGAAGAGAGCTCAAACTGGATTCTTGGAAATGTTTCCTACTGGGGAATTCTGCCCTTCCTGAATTGCTTCAGCACCTTTTTTAGAAGGTGTTTTGTTCTAGGATTTACTTTTATTTGTGTGTATGTATGCCACGTGTGTGCTGGTGCTGGCCGATCCAAGGCAGGGCACCAGGCCGCCTCCGGCTGGACTTGGCAGCCTTGAGTTGTCTGCCACGGGTGCTGGGAAGCTGCGGCGGCGCTCAGGTGCACTGCGAGAGCAGTGGGAGCTCTTAGCGTGTGAGCCCCCAGCCCTGCCCCTGCCCCCCAGCCTGTCCTCCTGGCCCCTCTCTCCATTTTTGCCCCATCTCCCCACCAAAAGTCATAGATTGCTGCTAGACTAAGCCTCTCACCTGAACAGCTCCAAAAGACATTTCCTCAACAAGATGGTAAAAACCAAAGTGAAATATAACTATATCTTCATTGCTTCAAATTCTAAGAAACTCTTTTCAGTTCTCTGTATAGTTCTGTTGTACTGTTAACAGAATTCGTTTTTCTATTGCTGTAATTGTTTTAAGAGTTAAGGACATCACTCAGTAGTAGACTGATCAGGGTAGTAGAAGGTCAGGGTTTGCCCACACCCCTCACCCAGCACCACACACACACAAAGTATGTGTGGGTCTGTATATTTAGTTAATGCAGCCAATTAAAAGTAGCGTGGTTCCCTAACTCTGCCCAAACCAGTCACATTCCTTTTCCTTACTTTCACGGCTGTTCTCCATATTGGGGAGCTAGAGGAGGATGGGGGAGGGCAGGTTTCCACGATTAAGGACGGATTAAATGACTTCTGAAAGATGAGTCCCACAGTGTACAATGGTGCAGCTCTGGATACTGGGGAATCTCACAAAGCTTAAGAATCTGTCTGCTCTCACTGGCGCCCTGAGGTATGTGCTGGGCCTGGGCCTCTGCGCTCAGGTTCCCAGGTCTGGCCATCTGGCCTGTGTTCATGGACAGCCAACCTCTGTCAGTGGAGCAGCCTTGGGTCAAAATGTACTCATGTTCATTTTACTGACTATGCCTACCTCTCCCTCGGTCCTTATCCGTCAATACTGAATTTCTTGAGAAAGAAATTAAGCAGAATTGACATTTTCCTTTAAATTTAATAACTGTTGAAACTATTTCAGAAAATAGACACTGGCTTTTCTTTTCCTTCTTCCTGATTCCTTTCCTTGACAGCCCGTGTGATTGACGTGTCTAATGGGAAAGTCCATGTTGCTGAAAGCTGTTTGGAGGAAACAGGTGGCCTGGGAGTAGATATTGTCATAGATGCAGGAGGTGGGTACCTATGCCATGAGCAGCCTGTGTGATGTTTTTAATTGCATAAATTGCAGAAAGAGTATAACTGGGAACTAATTATTACTGCATTCATAAAATCAGACGTCTCATTTAAGGGTTTGTTTTTAATTAAGAACTCATCTATTTAAAGTGTAACTCCTTCACTTGATTCCCATCATCAACCCTGTCCTCTGGAAGAGGGAGCATGCATTTTAAGCCTTAGGCACTGAAGCTTGAAAAGCAAAAGATGAGTGTCTCTAAGAAGCCTGTCACCATGATCAGTGTACTCCTTTGGTCCCCAGTAATACACACTGCCCAGCATTTCACAGTCACTTGCACTGTGTGGCTGCCCTCTGCTGGATGGGGAAAAACAAGTTCGTACCATTCACTTTCTTCAACTTTTTAAGTTAAATTTGCATTTAACTTGGGTCCATTTCACACCTGATCTGTGCACATTTAGGTGGCACCACTCACTGCTCCTGAAGGATCAGTGTTGTGAGCTGCACAGCACTTTGGTTTGTATTTTATTGTGAGTACAGCTACAGCCATCGTGTGTGTTCCTTTCTGATCTGTTCTCCAGGATCGGAAACTGACTCATAGAAATCATCAGTGGAAGTGAACAGTGTACTTTCGTGTGGTCACTTTCCAAATGTGTGTTTCAGTGCTGTGACTCAGTATTTTAAAGAGAGCAGTCCATCCACAGTATTAAGCTACGGTTGTTAGAATTAGCATGAGATATAGTGTTGTAGTACATTACCTTGCTTGCTTCCAAATCAAAATTTATTTTGTTTGCATTTAATTTTAATTAAGTCTAGAGTACATTTTGGTGTAGCTTAAAGTTAACTAAGTTTGCCTTTTATTAAGAAAATTATTTCTTGCTGTATAAAAAAGACTGATATGCAAAATAAATTTTGTCAGATTTTTATAAAATATACTTTTTCTCTCTTTCTTAACTATTCATTTGTAAGTGAGATTATATAGTAAAGATGATGAACCAGCTGTAAAATTACAACTACCACATAAGCATGACATCATCACACTTCTTGGTGTTGGAGGCCATTGGGTAACAACAGAAGAAAACCTTCAGGTATTGTCAGAAATAATGAAGCCTTGCTATTAACCAAGTGCAGTCATTAGCAAAAAAACAGTATGAGTTCTAATTACCCCCTGTGTTTAAAGGAATGTAGTCTCTTTTCTATGTTAACTACAGACTGGCCATTCTATTCTACTCTATCTATTCATTCTATTCTATCGGGCAGGGAAGTCCATGCAGTTAGAATAAATTATAATTGTATTTAGTTCATTGTACACAGTGGCCTCTGGATTTTTAAATTGTATTTCAAATTACACTTTTATCTGTGTGTGCATATGTATGTGCAAGGGAAGCCAGAGATAAACATCTGGTATCTCCCGCTCTCATTCTCCACCTTATCTTTTGAGAGGTCTCTCATTGAGCCTGGAGTTTGCTAGTTTGGCTAGACTGGCTGGCATCAGGCCCAGATCTCTTCCCATTGTGTCTCCAGCAATGGGATTACAGATGTGCATGCTGCACCCGGCCTTTTGCATGGGTACTGGTGTTGTGTAACTTGAGCCATCTCTCAGACCCTAAAAATTTGCTTTCTAGTAACTTAGCAATTATAATATTTATAAATATTATCATAATTTCATATTACTATATATGTGTATAGGTTAATTTCCTCCAAAGCTATTTTTTAACAGAATTCTTAATTGAATATATATATCATAATACTACAATCTAATATACCAGTCTAGACTTCCCGACAGAACCACCTGTAGAAACCTGTCATATACATAACTCTTTTCTCCCCGAGAGTCCACACCGGCCCGGCATCTGCCTTGTCCTAGTTATCTCATCGTGTCAGAGGGAGGAAAACGTCACAGTTAGTGAACAGCTGTTAGAGCGTGCAGCTGAGTCCTTTCTACAATGGTGGATTTGCATTAAAGGTTTTCTGCTTCAAGCACCTTCATGCTGTTCAACTTAACAGAAGCTGTTTTGTCTCTGTTTCTTCTGTCAAAGTTGGACCCTCCAGATAGCCACTGCCTTTTCCTCAAGGGAGCAACGGTGGCTTTCCTTAATGATGAAGTCTGGAACTTGTCAAATGCACAACAGGGAAAATATCTTTATATCCTTTTTCTACTGATTTGAATTGCTAGCTTGCAATTTGCCTCACACTCTACTCATAAACTCTTTCAATGTAACCATAAGAAGTTACAGTTAGCTGTGAGCTTTCCTTGAGCATGTCTGGCAGAGGGACAGGTATCTTACATTCATTTAAGCAGTAAATCTATGAGGCCTGACTAAAGTCGCTCCATTTCACAGGTGAAACACAGACTGTCAGGAGGGTACAGGCAGAAGAGACAGAATCACACCCTGGGGTCTAATTCCTTCTGAACGGGGGGTAATGAGACAGGTGGAATATTTTCTTTTTAAACCTGGTATTGTATGGTACTTTAAGGGGTAGCATGCTTAACTCCTAAGGTGGTACCATTGTACAAAATATTCCAAAATGTTTGCAGTTGAATTTTATAAGTACCAGTACTGGGAAATTTATTTTTAGATTTATTTTTTGCCTAATGTGTATAGGTCTGAATATGGGTCTATGTCTGCATGATGTCTGTGCACACGGTGCCCAAGGAGACCAGGGGACAGGCCCCGAAACTCAAGTGACACACACTTGTGAGTGGCCACAAGAGTGCTGGGAACTGAACCCGGGGCCTCTGCAAATATAGCGAGTGATCTTACCTATAAGCCATCTCTCCAGACCTTCATGTTTCTTTTTATTATTCTCCATATGGATATAATTTTGATTGCTTAGGGGTCCGGGGGATAGAGTCCATAAGAGCTGGGAGGCCTGGCTTGGCAGCAAGGCAGGAGCCTGGGTTAACACAGTTTATCTACCCGTGGGAAGCCGAGAGAGCAGGAAGCAGGGATGAGGCCATAATCCATCAAAGCCCACTTCCTGTGAAGTACTTCCTTCCAATACTTCCAGAATACAACCATCTGGGACCAAGTCTTCAAGCACATGAGCCAATGGGGGACGTTTTTCATTCAAACTAACACAAGTACATACATATTACTTAGCTTTTTTTTCCATATTTTTTGAAGTAAATGAATTTATGCAAACAAATTGAACCTGATATCAACCAAATTAATTGATAAAAGTTTACTTCCTGTAAGAGATGTAAGTGCTGAATGCCATGCATAATGCCTAAGTGAAAACCATGCATGACTCCATGAACTGTTGCTTAATCTCGGTCACTGCTTATGTGCCAGTCTGTGCTATCAACACTTGTCTTTAGAAGGTTCTGCTCTGTCACACCTTAGCTCTCAACCGTTCATTCTTCTGTTTTAGAGGGGATTGACAGTTTCTAGTTGCTGGAATACCACTTCGAATTTGAAAGTACAAAATTTTTTTTAAAAGAAAAACAAAAGTGACCAGGCTGGCATCTTGTATTTACTGAATGGCTTATTTAGTCCTCTTTCTATTAAGTTACCACCTTAACAACCCTTCCAGTTACGCATCTTAAAAGACGTGATGGATAAGTTATCGGCTGGTATTTTCAGGTATGCAAAAAAAACCCTAAATCATTGTTATTGTTCTGTTCTCAAGGAAAAGTGGGCGTGTTTTTATTCCAGTTTTGTTTTTTTTTTTTCTTTTTGTTTTGTTTGTTTTGTTTGTTTTTTCCAGAGCTGAGCACCGAACCCAGGGCCTTGTGCTTGCTAGGAAAGTACTCTACCACTGAGCTAAATCCCCAACCACCCCCC